GTAGTTTCAGATTATAATGGTTGTCTTGCATTTTGCCTTTTAGGAATGAAAAACTTAAGAGTCAGAATTCTACAAAATTTTTCATTTCTTTAATACTTTTAATCCTGTTTTTAAAAAGAAAACTTCATCAGAAATGAAAAAAACCTTTTAGGTGATTGAATATGGTAATAATCTTATTTGGAGAATGAAACAGCACCTTCAGACTGTTTTTCTATAAAAGCTATGTGTATCAAAAAAATAGCAGCATCTATAAAATCACAGTCAGAAGAAATAAGTGCCAGACCATTAATATAAAATGCAAAATATTAGACTGCATGGTCTTCAGAAGATGGGAGAACTAATAATGGGCTTTCGTTGGAAATGCAGATGTCAGCTGTGGGTGCCTTGAATTGTCAATAATAATGTTAAACACAGGGTAGAATATCAGCCTGAGCTTATTCTTTATTCTTCTCTCAAAATCATTAAAGCTAAGACAGTTGTGACATATGTTCCGCTATGGCTCAGTAAGTGAAGACGTGCGTGGAACGTATATGCGTGTATGTGCTGAATTATTCATGTCTAAGTTACTGCTTTGGGGAAGCAAATGGAGTGCGCTTTGCTGGCAGGTAGGCTTTGAACCATATCTCATGGAGGAAGAGAATAAATATTCTCAGTTTATCCTGGCCCAAGCTAGTTATCAGCTGTGTACACAGGCCCAGGCATTTTTTTTTCTTTTGACTATAGCTGCATTAGGAAAAAGCTGGATAAATATCAAATTCTAAGAGAAAGTACTTTAATGGAATTTAGCACCTACATACCCTATTTTGTTATCTGTGCTGCATCCATCTAGGTAAAGGACTTTCCATGTAAGGCTCACCGAATTCACTGAGCTGTAGCCACAAGGTCAACCTTAGAGGCAGGGGAAGGGAGACTTAAACCTGGAGGGTGATGGTATGTCCTCAGGGGTGCCTTTCTCCTTGCAGAGAGAGAGGGGACTGAAGCAGGGTGTGCAGCAGAAAGCCCATCACCCTCTTACACCTGTCTTAGTGATTCCTGCCATCTTCCTGTATTTAACGACCTGGGATTTGAGTTACTCACCAGCCCTTGTAGCCATACCGTCATGAAGTTGTCACTTCAACACGGAGGTCTCTGTGAACCAGGTGGAGAGCAGGAGCTACAGCGGGGGAACAGCCTGACACTTGACCAAATTCAGTCTCTCAGCACCCATCTGGAGGAATGTTATTGGGACTGTGATTTTTCTTTTCTTTTTTTTAGCTCCTTTCAGCAAATGAACTGCCTTCCTCCACCCCATCAAGACAATGGATATTAAATGAGCTGCAGACCCTGTTTTATAGTATTTTTAAGCATGTATTTCTTTTGTGGTACACTAGGTTCTTATGTGACTTATTGTATATGGGTTCTGTTGGAAAGTTAATTTGAAATATTGTAAGTTTAAATTTAGAAATGTTTGGTCCTGAGTGGATTTCAAAGCTCTGTAGAAATCTCATTTTATGTTTTGAGGATGTGTGGAGGATTGTGTTTAAAATCAAAACAATATTTTAAAGTGTCACATCTATTGCAAGCCCACTTCACGCTGTGACCTCTTAGTGCAATGCACAAAGTTTCAACAGGTGAAGGGAATTTAGTTGCTCGAGGAAGAGGCGTTGACTCCTCTCTTGAGGCTTGTCTACATGATATTTTGCTTCAGGATACATTTTAATTACTATGAGGGGGAAGTGTAACTTTCTAGCATAGATAGGAAACACATGCTACTTGTTAATTTTGTTTTACCCTTTGCTAGCAAACTTATTTTAGGTTAAAAATGTCTAGAACAGGAATTATCATCTAATGCACTCCAGTGACTATGCTGTTAGGCAGTGGTGACCCTCCTCAGACAAGTGTAAACTTACATATTGAAATAAAAATCTCAAACATCTGAATGCTTAAATTAATAAAACATCTATATTGCCTAAAATCATACTAGTATTTGTTGCCTGGGTTTAGATTATACATGCATCAATGTCTTGGTTTTGGACAACTTTTAAATGTGTGCTTTATATACTAAATAATATCTTCCTGTTTTTGTCAAGGTCTGTGAATTATTTATTGCAGCCTACGTTACCCTCCTACTTATTTGCTAAAAGCCAGGATTTTACCATGTGAAGGTTTTGGATCTGTCTGGGATAAATACACTGTATATTAGCAACATTTTCTGTAATTATGGCAAGTATCTAATAACAAAGAAAAAGCCCTCCTCCTCCAATATTGCTTTTATTCAGTATGTCCTTGATTTAAATTCAACGTTATGTTAGTTTTCTTTCTGTGCTTTTGGGAGCATGAAATATTGCTTAACTTCTTAGTTTACTTGTCTGATGAAGAAGTTGCTTGGCAGCATTATCTGTGTTTTTCCCATCTCATATAATCTTATGTCAGCCTAGCTCTGACCTTTATATGATGGAACCTAGTGGTAATAGACCCTTCTGCTTAACAAGCTTTGAAATAAAAATGTATGATTGGCAGAGCTGCAGGAAATAATTAGTTCCAAGTAGATGTGAGAAGTGAAAAGATTATTTAAAGGAAGAGAAAGTGATTCAGCTGGTTTATGGTGCATATGAAGTCGTGTCAGCTTTTAATTTAACTATTAAGGGATTGAAATAAATTTAAGTCACTATGCGAAAGCGTTTTCGAATGAATCATTGTAAAGAAGCTCTTTAAATAACTTTACTGCTTATTGGAAGCTCAAATATTTGAAACATTAATTAGTTCATTTGCTCTTTCAGACCAACTCGTAAAATGTGGCTGAGTGGAAAAGCTACTGTAGGGAAGAGAGGATGTGCACTAGATCTTGCTGAAACTTACCTAGAGAACAGTTTATGGTGTTCTTTGAAATAATAAAAAATGTGTATACACATTTCCCAGGAAAGAATTCTTCAATCAGTTTTCCAGTCAGTTCTTACAGAGGTCAAGATGTGTTTTCTATGTTTTAATTAGATAGACAAACGAGGACAAACTCAGTCACTGTATAGAGGAGTTCTCAAGTATGCTGTACATGGGGGAAGAAAGAAAGAATGAATGATTCTCCAGAATTTTGTGTACAGCCCTTAAAAATCTGTAGATAACACAGCCGTGTTCCACAATGAATGGATAAAGAGTGACCCACTCTCCTGCCTCTTGGATTTTACCATACTCTATAATTTGCCATTCATTTGAATCGCTCTTTACTAATAACACCTCCATATATGAAAGGAAAGCAATGGTGAAGGCAAAGTTAACAGCCAAATAGGCTTTCTACTTCTTCCCAAGCATGGATCAATGACCAGAGATTAGGAGACATTTCACCCATGTTGTCACTGGCTTTGTGCAGAATGTGCTTCCCCCCCAAGTGATGGTGGCTGTGCTGCCTCTCCTTGTATAGGTTGAAGTAGAGTCCTGTAAGAAAGCGGTTGTGAATTACATGTGGTATGGGAGCAATGCATAGTTCCTAAAGCTGTTGCAGTGAACAGTTGAGGACTTTTGATAGGGACCTAGTAAGGATCTAATGCTAGGAAAGAAATGTAAGAGAAACTTAATGCCTTTTGGGAGCATGAAATGCAGAAGATTCTGGTGAAAGCCAGGGTGAGTTTGGAAAGAACTTAATTAAGCTCATGTTCATCTAAAATGAGCATTCCATTTTTCTCCTGATTAAGAGATCTGTTCAGATACTACTCATTCTGTCTCTTACCTTTGTATGCGTCATCAGGATGTCACTTTGCCATTTATTTCCTTTCATATTGACCAGTTTGGATTCTCTTGGGTGCACGTTAGAGAGGGGCTTTTTTCCTTTTAGATTCTCTTTCCATTTCTCTTCTAGCTGTGGTTAGTACAGGAGATACCTGGTTGCTGGTTCTCCTGCTCATCTCTACCGCTGCCATTGATGATTAAACTCCCATGTCTTCCCAGTTTCCTGTGCTCGTTGCTTTCAACTTTTGAAAAATTCTGGTTTTGAAGCCAAAGCTCTGCAAGCTTATTCTCCGTGGACCGCGAAACGGATGTTTTTTGAAAATTATTTCTTTGTGTGAATGGGGTGGCAAAATCAGGGATGATCTCGTGTAAATAACTTCCAATGGTGTACCGTGCTTGTAACAATGCAAATCTATGAGTTTTGTGCCTTATTGCTATGGAAGTGGCGCGTCTGATTGGAACTAACTTTAGAATTTATAAGTTGCCAGGTGCTTATTTTCTCCTAGTGTTGTCCACAGTGTGTTCTCCTCGCTATCTAATGCTCAAAATATAATAAAGTCCATTAAGAGCAATTATTAATCTGACAAAAGTGCATTTTGAACGCTTGTTCTGATCTGGTGCAATGCACCAAATATATAAAGAGCAGTGTAAAGCTGCTGGTTTATTTCGGATCTTGAAAGGTCAGAGTACACTACTGAGACTTAGAGAAGGGCTTTTACTACTTTTTTGTGACTGAGCCATCACATATCTTACAGGTTTTTGCAGCCACTGTTTATTGGCACATTTTCCAACTGCCGCTATATTTTTCTCTTTTTTTATGACAGAAAAGCGAACATTTACGTAATTAATGCTTCTTTCAAGGCATCAATACGGTACATTTAAAGCAATGAGTTTGCTTAACTCTGTAAATCGCATTGTTGCATTGTCATTAAAAGTATTATGAACAAAATGAGCTAAATGACTTCACAGGAAAACTATGAGAAAAAGTATGTAGCTGCTGTATCCAAAGCTATGATTAGGGAATATTTAAATTATTTTGCTTATCTTTAAAGGTGTTTAGGTGTTTAACTCATATATGCTTGAATACGTATTATAGGTTTTTATCTTTCTGTGAACTTTGATTTGATTAAACCTCTTACAGCCTAAGACAAATGCTTGAAAACCAAGTATTTGGCAAAAACATGTAGTTATTTGATAATATGTTTATGTATCTGTATGATTCTAAACATTGTGTAAGTAAAACTTAGACTGCTCAAATAATTTGGTGTTTGGTTTTAATACTGCTTGTTGTAACTTGGCAGGGACAGCCTGTTGGAGACTGTGATTTTAATGTTCGACTTGCATGTATAGAGAAAGAGATTATATTTCCACGACATGAAAAGATGAAGAATGGTCTTATCGACAAAGCACAGGAACCATTCAGTGTTCGAAACAAACCATTTTTCGACATCTACACTTCAAGAAAGGTAAACTTGATTTCAGTTGTTTATGTTGTGGCCCTGAAAGCAGCAAAGCAGTGCTGGGTATAGGTTTTCCCTCAGATTTTTTAGCTTCCAGTGAGTTTGTCTGCTAACCAAGTGTTCAGCAATGCTTGGGGGGCAATTGGCAGTTTTGGATGCTCTGAAAAGTGGTTTTAGGCTACCTATTCCTTCTGAATTACTATTTTCCGATATTTAAAACCCGCACTTTGGCAAAACCTAATTCTTTAGTTTCATAATGTTGAATGATGATACACAAGTTAATGGCTTTAGGTCTGAAATGTCTCTGAGCTCGAGGGAATGTCTGAGAGCTATGTTGTTTACACTGTCCTCCTTTGTAGGTAAGAATATAATGTTCTTTTTACTTCCAGTCCCCATTTGGCCATAGTATAAGAATCATGAGTTGTGCTTGAACTTGCACGTCATGTTCAGCAGTGATTACTAAGAGCCTGTTCTAGTTAATGTGTCCGCATTTACTTCTTAAAATACTGCCCTAGGTCTTCTGAAGTAAGGCATATGACTTGCAAATATATATGAGTTCCTATCTTTCATTGTGCACTCTTTTCTTCAGTATAGATATATCCCAACTTTCTGTAAAATACTTTTATTCTCTTCTGTGAATTAAATGGCTCCTGGATAATACTTTCTTCTAGAGGAACCCATTTTTCTTAGCACTGCTGTTAGAAGTAGTCCCGTGTCTCATCAACACACAGCAAGGAACATCAAATTGTCGGCTTCCATTTGCTTTTGTCATTTCCTTGATCCTGTAGCAGGTAATGAATCTTGCCCCAAGAGGAGCAGTAATGGTATTTTGGCTAACCAAGAGTGGCTGAAAAGTAAATAAAGAGATAAGGCATAAGCTGGACTTTCAAAAAAAAACCTGGCAGAGAGTAGCAGTCTTTGGAAAGTTTGAGTCCGGAATGATTCTATGAGAAGTATGTGTGGATAAAGCACTATAAATGTTTTGATCACTTCTCTGTGTTGTTCCATTTTTGAGTTGTCTATTTAAGATCAACATTGTAAAATGGAAGTAAACTTTTCATGGGGGGGGGGGAAAGGCTGTTTGTCTAGGACACATAATTTTGAGCTTGAAATTAAAAGAAACTAGAAGAAAAGGAGCATGTCTTAAAAGTGGTTTCTTACATAAATTTATAGTTTCTTGAAGTGTTCTCAAGTTCCAGGTTATTTAACTTCATTTAAAAGTCAGAGGAAGAACATGGTTGGAAGGATTCCTAGGAAAATTTCTAGGTAAAACACATCTGTAAACAAATCTCATGCTAATTAAATCTAATTGCCAGCACATGACTATTGAAATGATCCTCTGCTTTCCAAAACCTAGGAAATTAAAATTATGCTCAACGGCTTTCTTTTTCCTGTCTAAAGGAGATTTCTGAATTGTCCATGTGCATTCCAATGTATTGGATTTTAACAATTCTGACTGTGGCACTTTTTAAAGTCAGCAATGAAATGATGCTATTTACTGGTCTTTCTCTGCCTTTCTCAAAGCTCTGAGCATAAACTCTTTAAGACGTTGACTGTCTTATTACCAAGCAGTAAAACATCAAATATGTTGGTGAGGGGAAAAAAAATTACACATGGCTAGATTTTGTTTCATAATAGACTTATAATTGCTTTTGACACTAATGCTTGGACAATATTTCTTTATTTTGTCCTTGTGTTTACCACCAGGTTTGATTAACTTGTGAATTATGGAATGAAGCAGTTATCTGGCCAATTCTCTTCTTTTTTGTGAAGAATATTCCTGTATGCAGCAGTTGGAGATACACACAGAGAGCAGGAGGGGTAGAGTTACTGGCGGTGCAGAGCGAATAGCCAGTGTTACTTTTCTCTTATTTTAGTCATTTCAAACATTTATGATTTATCGACTCTGTGCATGTATTAGATCAAATTTGTAGGAAAAAAGCAAGTAAGAGTAATACCCTGGGTTTTATCAAACTATATGTTTTGATAGATGATTTTTTAACTAGGCTTCTTTTTGTCAATTAACTTCCCCCCAGTTAGAGTGAGTAAAAGTCAATGGCTGGTTTGTACTACAGTTATATAGCACATTTTCTTTCTCTGAGGGCTGCTTTTCCTCTGAGAGTTTTGCTGCTTTTTTTATGAGTGATGAATATACCCTTGGAACAGATATAGTGATGACTTACGCAGTTTGAGAGAGCAGGGCATCTGAAAGTGTGAAGCATGGCGCTCTCTTTGGTTTTTGTTACTTACCTCAAGCTTTTAAAAAACAGTATTTGAAGATATCACTAAGTCTGCAGTACCAGGTAAAACTTTAAGGACATTGCAACCTGCATTTGAGGTTATTATGTTGCAAATACAGTTCAGTCAACAAATTCTTACCCCAGTGTGTCATCACCACCTTAAAAACATCTTTGAGATAAGAGTATCTATATGCTTTTAATTTATTGGGGTGTTTGGGTTTGGTGTTGGTTTTTTTTGTGTTTTGCTGTTGTTGGGGTTTTTTTGGTTTGGTTTTCAGGGTTTTTTTTAAGTGGCAATCAGGGCAGACTCTGAAGCTTTCTACATTTTGGGTTTGAAATAACCATAGGTTTTAAAATTTTCTTTTTGTACAATGCACATCATAGGTTTTAAACGATTCTTGTCCTCATTTAAAGTCACTGTTATCTAGTGAAGCATGTTCATTATACTACTGTTATGACAGAAAACTTCTAATGAGTTTGATGTCAATATTTAAGAATTGTTTGTATGCCCTGTGATAACTGTAAGGAGTTTTAGGTAGTAGTACCAGTATTGATGTGGAGTTTTATATAAGGTACTATTGGTAAACGTTTAAGGGAAATCATTACAGATTCAAAATATATTTCAAATCTGTATCTGCTCAAAAGAATAATGTTCATAAAAATATATTCTCAAAAGAATAATATTTAGACTAAGCATTATTGTTGCTCTTATTTATCTCAAAAATACATGTTTTGTTTCATTACTTCTGTGAACTTGATGAGTGTGGTTCCTGTAACACTTCCTTAGGATAATGAAACAGGGGTTACATCTTTATTCATCACAACTTCGTGAACAGAATTTTTCATTATATATGGTCAGAATATACTATTGTTTTGAAGCATTGCCCTATTCTGAAAGAGGACTATTTTTTTAAAAAATAGTATTGCATTGCCCAGAAGATCTTTTTCTTATGTTTATTCAGTCGTCTCTGCAACTATAGCAACAAATGTACTTATAGCCATGAATACCTCATTAGTATAGCTGAAAGAGCAAGCTGGGTTTCTTTTGCATCAATGACAAATGTCTTGACAGGGTTTACCAACTCTGTGTGCAGCACAGCAAAGTCTGCAGGGAGACAAGGAATTCCATCTAGCTTCTAAGTCTGCTCATATTCAGATTGCTCATATTCAGCATGTCCATCAATCCATCTCCAGAGATGGTGGCAGCTGAATGGATGCTAAAGGACCGACAGATGGGACCTGCTTAGGTAGATCTTTTCCTTATGTTTAATTAGCCATTTTCCTTGTTCTCCAAGAACATCTTTCATCTTTAGAAAGGATCTAACAGGATCTTTCCTTTCTTGACTAGGGGTCCTTAAAGATTTACACCCTGTGAAGCTGGGCGTTTTCTTAAGCTAGGTTTCTTGCCTACCTCCAGTTCTTGTTTTGCTGACAGAAGATGTAGCTTCTCATGTCACCCCCAAGGCTTCTTATTTTCCAAGAAAGATCAATGGACATAGCAGTCTTTGGCCGCAGATAAGGTGGATCTCTGATTGCACCAGTATATTCAAGACTGAAAAAGTGGAAAACTCATACCACTGGTCAGAATGTGTTTCATCAACATTCTTGGAGTATGTCTCGGGAGGTTTTGGTTTTTTTTTTTGAAGCATAGATGTATTTTGCTTAGGGTCAAGAAAAGAATCAAGCGTACTTCTGAATTACCACAGCTGGCACCACACATCACATTTAATTTTGTTTTGAGAAACTTCAGTTTTTTGAAATATGTTCCCAGGACGCAGTCTGAACCTCACAAAAGTAAATATTGTGGACCTCTCTCTTCACAGCCTCCCTCCATCATTCCTTTCTATGACCTGAGTTAAGACATAGTGTTCCAAACTGAAAGCCGTCGTTGGCCCTTCTTCTTATTAACAACAGCACATATCAGTAAATGTCTGTTAGCTTGGGTGGATTGTCGGAAGATTACTCAAAAAGGCCAGGAGTCTCAGTGCTATGTTTAATAGCAGAATAAGTGGCTAAAACTTTTAATTATACCAAGAAAAATGAATGTTGTCCACATAGGTTTAGTTATTTTCCGTGAAAATGTGGAAGTAATTACTTGAAACAGCAGTAAAATTCATACTGTGTTATATAATAAGTCCAATAATGAAATTGTTCTTAGACTTATGAATTTGGGACTTTAATACTAGAGTTAAGAGTACTGGCTGTTTTTTTTCTAACCTGAAAATCAATTTATTGTGAAATGAAATGCACTTTTACAGTACAATTATAAAGTATGGCAGCATTTATAGTTGTGCCTTGACATTTGTTGTTGGTACTAGATTTTGGAAATAAGGGCTATATCTTTACAATGTTATATCTTTATAATGTTGTCTTGAATGTTATTTTGAGATGTTTTGATGCAGTTTTGTTTGCTTTTATAAGACTGAGTTTTGGTGGTAAGAGGAAGAAAAGAAAGGGACAGTCACCTGGGGACAGGTTGTATGTTCTTGGAATCTCTAAAAATGTTACCTTGTTGAACTTTGATATTGGTAGAGAAAGCAGTGTCACTAAACTTGCCTGCCTCTATAATCAAAGAATCATTAAACATAGTGTTAGTGTTAGCTGGGAGTGATTTTGCCTTTTAATGTAACTTCTTAATGTAAATTATTTTAGAAAGATATTTTTGAGCAATGTTGAGTCTTTACTGTTTGTCATTACACTGGTATGATTGGTCACTTTTGTTGCATAGCTTGCTTTCTTTTAACTTATTAGTCTGCATCAGAATTC